GAGAGGAGGAGAATCCTTGTCGGCAATGGTGGACAAACGGGTCGTCTGAAGTGACCGATAGGCGGTGGAGGCGCTGCTGCTGTGTCCTGCGTGCTCTCTTTCTCTCTCTCCTTTTTTCCCTCACAAGTCACCTTAACGGTCTCCTGTTCTTGAGAGAATTCTAACTAGTTTATGACCCTTTAGCGAAGACTGACTGAGTGATCAACATCGATAAGTTTGTGAGGTTGATTGTTTTTTTTGATGAGCTGATGGTTGTGAATGTGTACTGTGGAATGAGTTGCAGCGAGTGCAGTGATGGATGGTTGATCTTCGGTGATTGATCGAATGGTTGTTTGGTAGCTCTAAATTTTGCGGTTCAAATTTCGTCCGTATCCCAGAAAAAGAATGGTGCCAAGGTCCCACAGCAGACGCTAGAAATCTCCATGGGCGAGGGATCGAACACCCTTCACGCTGCGACGGAGACCCCCCCCCCCTCCCCTCTCTTTTTCCCCCCCTCTACAGTGTTGGTTGAAGGGCCTCCACAGTCTGTTATTTGGTGAGAAGAAAAGCAGAAACAGAATGAAAAAGCAATGAAGAAGCTGCGAAGAACTAAAGAAGGAAGAGGGGAATTATGATGATGATGACTGAAAGAGTGGGGGGATCGTTGGAGTATCTGGCGTGCCCGTGGAGCCCATGAAGCGCAGGCGAGAGCGTTGAATGAGTGACCAGGGCTCCTGTACGAGACAGCCTTGATTGAGTGTTTCATTGAAGTTTGACGATCTTTTGGACATGAACATCCATAATAGGGTGGGCGGCTTACCTCATTCCCCCGAACGAAACTCCCTATTATCAAGCCTGTATTTGGCCACGATACAGCCTCTGTGCACTGATGATGCTCAGAGAGTCATGCTCGGGGGACCAAGTGTTCATTTCTGTAAGCGTCTCGAGGGATTCAATTAAATTTGACACTCTTCAGACTTGCTGAAGTCGTTCCCATGCTTGTCTGGGACACGATCGAGCACACGTGATTGATTGGGAACCAATGATTATTTGTTTACCACTGTGTATGCGAAGAAAAAGCTTCCCAAAATGTGCCCACCTTCCTGATCATCATACAAAAGAAGAAGGGGGGAAAGCGACTGGGTATGTGATTGAGAATGCACTACCTATGGCTGCCTCAGCTTTTTATTGTTCTTTCTGCAAATAGGCGCCAGCAAAATCGCCTCCCCGTGTCCTTCATGTGCTTTGAAATATAGCAAAAGTGAACCAGCGAACGGCGAATGGTTGTGTTGAAAAATGAGACATGTGCTTTGAAATATAGCAAAAGTGAACCAGCCAACAGCGAATGGTTGTGTTGAAAAATGAGACATCAAGCCGGGCAACTCCCCTGCTTACAGCCTAGCCTATGCGCTGGACCTACTAGCCTTAAACGACTGGCATGGGTTCAAATCCTGGAGGCACTAACTCATTGCAGAGACTTGGAAATTCTACTCTTACTGGGTCTGGGATCAAACCCCAGCTCCAACACTTGCGATAAAACAGCATATTGTGGAGCAGTCTGTTTGGTCGTGAAGCTGGTAATGCGACCGGCATTTGATGTCGACATCCTTTTCTTTCCATACCTTCCCTCTTGTCGTGGTGGAAATAGAAATGAAATGTTGTCCGTACAGTCCCTCTTTCCCTTTTTTTGGGTTAAAAGTTGAACCACCATTTCACACGAGCCTAAGTTGACCAAGCTACCTTCCAAGGTTTGCGAGCCTGAGGGCGTACTTTGTTACTTGTTGATAGACGTAATTGCCACCAGATACGTCCAGGTCGGCTCGCAAATGCCATCAGATACATGCAAGATAGTGCTGCCGTCTTCACCCGAATAGAACGCCTGGTCATTATAGCTGTATTTGGCACAACTTTCGGTCCAGATGCAGCGATAATGATCGGGTGTTCTATTCGGGTGAAGACGGTAGTGTGAGCACACCCTGACTGTTTTCTTTTCACAGTGGCCTTCCATGTTCAGGTCCTAAGCGCCGTGGCCTTACCCGTAAACCGGAAAGAGCCCTTACTCGTAAACTGGTAAGAGCCCGATTTAGCTTTTTTGGGCAAACTGGTGTTTTGAGAAAAGTTGTTTCCGCACCCCCTTCTCTTCAGTGCGCTTGCAATTGTGCCTTATTTTTGGGAGGTTTTCAAAGAAGACTGCTGTGTTTGTGTACAATTCTGAGAAAGCGGTGCTAATATGTGCTATGTTTGTTTGGTGTGTTTGTGTTTGCTGTGTCTGCATGGGCTCTTTCTGTTTTCTTTTTTTTTGTTGTTGAATTCAGTACCAGGATGATGGCATAGTGAAGTTGTGGGTAAACAAGGTGTTTCCATATCACAACCCGCAAGAAACGTATAACTACTACTCCCTACCCTTCTGTAAACCGTCCGGCAGTGTGGAGCACAAATCGGGTGGCCTAGGAGAGGTGCTGGAGGGTAATGAACTCATTGACAGCAACATAGAGTTCCGGTTCAAGAGTAAGCTCCTTCTCTTTCCATCGCCGGTTGTCATGCTTACGGAAATCCCTCTCCTTACCTCGGTGGCAAGTTCGAACAGTATATGAAAAAAAAACAGGTAGAAAAGTTTTGGTAGTCGCATTTCTTGCTGGTCATGATTTATCTGGGTGGAAAATTTCAGCCTCTTTTTGTTATATGACCTTTCTATTGCTCGGATGAAATTCCCACCTTTGGTTTTGAGCCCTTTGAATAGAAAACATGTTGACTGAATGTCATATCTTTGCGTCTGGACGTTGGATCCGAGAAATCATATTTAGCGTCCCTTCCAAGGGTGGGGACCCTGTCAGGCATCTTTAGCGGGTGAGGGAGGCCTCCGACCTCTGAGCAGCTGGCTTATGTTATTAGAGCAACATCCTTCTAAGCTGAGGGTCACAGGTTCAAATTCCACAGGACGCTGAATTCTCCGGAGAGTGGCTGAGTGGTCAAACACGACAGAGTGTAACTCTGGCGACCGAAGAGCATTGCAGATAGAGGGTTGTCGATAGAGAAGGCAACCGCCACAGGTTGCGGAAAAAAAGGCTCGTTGCGAAGATCTGGTGGCGATTGGAGAGCATTGTACTAAGCGTCTGCATTTGTAAAGGGGGGAAAAAAAAACTCCTGCTGTAAAGTGACAAGCAAAAGATAGCACCACCTGCCTGGTTCATGAATTTGCCCACATCAGGGTTTATATCGAACGAGAATGTGATTTATAACTTTTGCTTCTTTTTCTAATGTTAGGAGCCTGTTAAACGACCAGTGCGTTTCCCATCCATTGCTTTATGACGAGGTAGTGCTTGCGCCCACCTGCTGGTTTGCAAAAAGTGCATCCTGGCAAAAACAGGCCATGCATGCGACGTGTTTTACCTGGATGTTTTGGTTGTGAACCGGCAGGTCGGCACATCCTGCCAGACACGGCGCTCTGCCAGACACGGTGCGAATGCTACCTTGTCGTACAAAAATGGACGGGAAAAGTACTGCTGGCTTAAACCACAAGTACATGGCCCCAGCCTTGCAGTCCGAAACTTGTCGCCACAAGAAAACGAGGCCGAAACGTCAACCGCTGGGCCCGCTGTTGATAAATTCGACCGGCGGCCCTGTTTTTCTTGCGCGCCTTCAGAATTTGAGGTGTCAGACCCACGCACGGTCCAGGTGCCCATGCACTGGTGGACCACCAGTCCTTTTGATGGTCTCCTGGCCCGTGGTTCCACTACGAGCAGCAGGGTAGGATCAAAGTAGAGCTGCGGAAATGTAGGCGGGGTGCAACTAACACCTCATTGTTTTGAAAGGGAAGAATGAACGGGCTTGCTATGGCAAATATACCATCTGGCCATCCCCACAGCTCAATGGATAGCAACAAAGAGCCGACAAAAGGACAAGCAACGTGCAGCAGGCTGCGGACAAACAGAAACCATTCCTCACCTTTTCGTACAATGCCCGATAGAATACCTTTCTCGGCCTTTTGGCTAAGATCAAGTGTAGTATGTGTTCTGATCAGTTCAATATCTGATCTGTGATCCATCGGGCCACATTAAAAAAAAAAAAAAACAATGCCCGATAGTTTGGACATTCCGGGAATGGTGGGCGCAAGAAATTGCAGACAAGACAACCCTGGACCTCACAGAGGAAGATGATGCACCAATCCTCTTAGGGACGCTAATGAAAGTCGATAGACCGAAAATTGAGAGGTCAATGGCAACAGAAATCCTACGGGCGGCAGTATTGTGGGCCCTGTGGACCCTGCGGAACGAACAATGTAGGCAGGGAGTATCCCCGCCACTGCAGTCATATTAGGAAAGTGCCTTGGAGAATATAAGGGTGGCCCTCCTGGCGGACTTAAATCATAGCAGATGCTCAGGGGGGTGGGGGGAGGAAGGCTTTTGGGAAAGATGGGTCTCCTACCCACAGCTGGTGACACGAGACCTTCAGATGGGCAGGATGGGATTTGGGCCCGTTCTGCTGCACCACCAGCCAATAGGAGGCCCGCGCTGATTCTTTTTGTTTTTGGTGCGCAGAGCGATTTGAGCCTCGAGGAGAAAAAGAGCCTCGGAAGTACTGGTTGTTTAAGCCGTTTGTTTGTTTTTTTGCTTGTTCTTCATTTTCTTGTTTGTGAATCACACAGACAAATATGATTCTTTTTTCCCTCCTTTCTGGCCGTACGATCTCCCATATGAGCTTCCAACTGCAGAACAGTGCTGTAGCAACCTTCAACCTCTTATCCGGTCCTATTGGGCTGCTGGTGGTACCATGCCCCTGAAAGGACGGTGCATAATCTTTTTGTGGCGGTCCAGCGTATCAAAGACCAGGGTGCCAGAGTCTCCTATGGCTGGGGCTCTGACACCAAAATGTGCGGATGGAGCGGTGATCTAAATCACTGCTGCCTTTGATCGTTTTTGTGTTTCGTTTCAAATCATGTAAATCCCAGTGGGGAACTACTGGGTATCTCATTGCACAAGGACTTATCTTAAACCACCGGCCAGCCTGCAGGTCGAAGAAGGCATTCCTGTGATTGTGCCAGGTCGCTGGGAGGCTGGGGAGGGGTGATGAGATCTTGATCCAGACCGTCTGGATCTGGATGTCCTCTCTGGGGTGTCCGGGTTTGGGCCCCATCAAAGAAATGCTGTCATCAGATCGTGATCCAGAACGTCTGGATCTGCGTGTCATGTCTGGAGTATTCAGGTTTGGTCCCCATCTAAGAAAGTCTAGAATAAAAGAGTCTGCCTGGGACGGACGTGTGTCCCAGGCAGCGCTAAAACGTTGACATCGACATTTTGAGGCAGGGTGAATCAGAAAACTTGATCCTGCCTGCCTTAGTGTTTCGGAATCCAACATCCATTTCCTGCTCGTCACCTCTGTCATTTGCTGCTGTCATTCCACCATCCCCATTGCCATCAGCTCGGTCTCCATGTTCAAGCGCGATGGTGTGTGTGTGTGTGTGTGTGTGTGTGTGTGTGTGTGTGTGTGTGTGTGTGTGTGTGTCTAGAATAAAAGAGTCCGCCTGGGACGGATGTGTGTCCCAGGCAGCGCTAAAACGTTGACATCGACATTTTGAGGCAGGGTGAATCAGAAAACTCGATCCTGCCTGCCTTAGTGTTTCGGAATCCAACATCCATTGCCTGCTCGTCACCTCTGTCATTTGCTGCTGTCATTCCACCATCCCCATTGCCATCAGCTCGGTCTCCATGTTCAAGCGCGGTGGTGTGTGTGTGTGTGTGTGTGTGTGTGTGTGTGTGTGTGTGTGTGAGAGAGAGAGAGAGAGAGAGAGAGAGAGAGGTTTGAGCTATGGACTCCCTTGCAGTCGATGTTTCTGGATGTAATCAAACTTTGAAGTTTGAACTGTTTTGAGGTACGTCTCCAACTTCACAGATATGTTTTAAACTTGCGAAATTGGGTTTGAAATCCAGTTCATATCTGTTGTGAACTGTGTGCTGGTTGCTCGCTTCCTGCTTTAAACCACCACTCTGCCTGACACCGAAAAGTGGCATTCCGGTGAGTTTGGAGCGGGTCTTTAGGGGGGGCGCCGACCGGCAGGCGCAGGTGGGTCCAGTCCTGCAATTTTCCAGCACCGACTTTGGCTATTTTTTGCTCTCAGAAAAATTAAGAAAAGAACCTGATAAATTGAGATCCTGTAGATTAGGTCGTGATCTTTCCAGGAAAAATATCAGAAAAATGAAAAAAAGATAAATTAGCCAATGAAATAAGTGCCGCGCCAATTCGTCACATTTTCCATTTTTGCCACTCTACAGCTTGTGGGCCAACGGGAGAAGCACCGCAATTTCAGTGATTTTTCATGCTCAGAAGAATGTGTACAAAAAAATGAATTTGGACGGTTGGCAGATTTGGTCGTGATCTTTGCAGGAAAAATAGTTTAAAAATAAAAAAAATAAGTTTCAACCACGAAATAGGTCGTGGCGGCATTTCATCACATTTTCCATTTAAGCCGCTGTCTTGGTTCTCCACACTATGCTACCGGTAGAGTGGTGGGTTAAGGTGGGTCTAAAACCCCAGGAGCACCTTTTTAGCCTTTTTAATCAGTACAAATTTAGGTACCGCTCCCAAAATCTGGACAGCCAGGGGCCAAGGCTGGTTGGACATCCAAATCTGGTGCAATCATGGCAAATATTTGAGTGTGCTGGATGTTCGTCTTTTTGTTCTCAGAATGGTCTGAGAAATTCTGAAAAAATCAGATGCATAGATCTGGTGCTGATCTTTTCAGGGAAAAACATTTGAAAGAATTAGGAAAATAATGGTAAGCATGGTAGCCGGTGTTCGGCCGGGGCCGAACGGATGAACCCGAACGCCCGAACGTTTGGGCCCCCCTGAACGGCCGAACGCAGGCCAAAAAAAAAAATTGAAAAAAATATATCTTATGCAGAAAAATAAATTGAACAACATTTGCCTCAGCGTTACATCCAAATTCTTTACCAAATTTGAATAACAATAATTAAAATAAGAAAAAATGAAGAGAACTAAAATCAGTGCGTGGGGGGGCACGTTTTAAACACTTCCATCTTTGCCGGTCTTTCATTTTTTTTGGCTTATTCAAGTGCCCTGAAAATTTATAGATGTCTACCTCACATGATACAAAACTTATTTAATTAAAAAAAAAAAAGTCAAATTGTTTAGGCCCCGAAATCAAGTGAAAACGAAAAGTGAAAAGATAAAAAAACAAAATACACCGGCATCTCTGGCGAATTTTCATTTCTTTTTTTGGCTCAGCAAAATGCCTTCAAAATTTACAGGCATGTACGTCACATCATAAAGAACTCACTTGAAGTTTTAGGCCATGAATTTTTTTTTTGGAAGGGGGCGAACCCCTTTAGGTTCGGACCCTGAACGGGACCCTGAATGCCCGAACGTACGGAGGTCGGCCCGGGGGCCTCCGTACGTATGGGCTGGTAACATTGATGGTAAGAGTATACTCACACTAGGCCCTTACAATTGCAGAATCAGAACATCAGCGGGCGGGTCGATCTGACCGCTGA